ATTGCGGCCAATTTGGCGTATCAATAGGAGATTTATTTTTTGAATTTAAGCAAAAGTAAACGGAGTTTGCGGATATTATGACCTTTCTAATACAAGCGAGGTGGCCAGATAGTCCCGAGAATGTAGGTGAATCGCATAGCATCGGCTGTGCCGTCGTAACGAATGGAATGCAGTCTCGCCGAGTTCTCGCGGAAAGATCAGAATATTCTACATCTTGGAGCCATGATCTCGACAGACAGATAAAACGTCGCTCGCGGTCGTACTCGAAATAATTAGCCTACGCGAGAGTACCTACGCATTGCACCGTGCAATGATGTTTTGATGCCGGTACTTTTACTTTACTAATCAATTTCTTCTGGAACATTTCATGATGAATCATTCGAGTTGAAAATATTACGACTGCAAGAACTGGAATCTCTATCGAGAAAAGTACTATTTCTAATAAAAGACTATGTTTAATCTTACATTTAATTGAGATACGTTAAATTTTTATTTTACATTAAATTATGTTGCTGCCATTTATAATCAGATAGAGAGATTTCTAGCATATATTCTATTAGTTGTCATAAATTTAAAAAATTTATTGGATGCAATAAAAGGGCGATGTTGTTTTTAAAAAATATTTCGCAATTGCTGCAAGAGTTTCGTACATGTATATTAAATTTCTCACAATAATAGATTCTTAGTTGAAACTAAAATTCCATGTAATATACTTGAGTGTCAGTATTTTGTTAACAACAGTTACAAGAAGGCGGATGTTGCTAATAATGTAGAGGACGACGGCAAGATATAAGCAAAACCGTAAAGATAAGATTCTTATGGTCACTTGCAGAAATCGCAGATTACCAGAGTTAGCGCGACGAATGGCTGTTTGGCAAAAGACTGAATGTTAGAGAACAAGGTGGTCGTTTGCAGTGGCACATATTTCCACCAGACATAAGAACGTGAAGTTCTTGCAGCAAGGTGGAATATGTTTCAAGCCAACCAGCTGGTATCGTATTCGCGAGAGAGGCCACTGTAAAAATATTACCGGTCTCTCAAGTCCCGGTATCGGCGATATTGATTGTGTGAAAATCGACGATTACATATATCACAGGTGACCTCGAGAAGCCTGACCGATTAAGGCTTGGGAGTCTGTCGCAGGAGACTCGTTCTATCTAATTCAGAGGCTTGATCCAATTCACACAGCCTCGGCAAATTTCCCACAAAATGCGCGCATCAAAATAATTGTGTTAAATCTCGCGAGTAATCGTTCTTATTGTTCCCTTCATATGAAGTTGACAAATTCGCGTATTTCATTCTTCCTGCCTATATATTATTAATTTTCAATTTTTTAATACATGTACTAAAAGTAATCGCAAGCAATAAACTCGTATAAGTGATAATCTCACTTTTTATATATGTATCATACATATCTTGTTTTTCTTTTTATTTTTTTATTAACTAATCGCTCGCAGACGAGAATCGTTTACAACCTTAAAAGAACAAGAAAGAAACCTGTCAGGGGTTATCCATGGACATGTACATCGAGCTATGTGCTGTCTCTCGAGGCGGTAACGGCAGACTTAACGGTATCCCATTCCAGCCCAATATTTACATTCTTTTCGCCGGTAAGCGCGACACATTGTATCTACGTAATGCAATTCGGCAATGCAGTGCTTATAAAATTGATGTTACACGAATGGATTGATATCGCGAGTGAAAGTGACATCATTTCAAAAGAGCATGACTTGTTTTATGGCTAGTAATCGCGACATAATAAGAGCGCATGCGATTTCATAAAGCCATTTTTTTTAAAGAGCTACTAGTTTATAAATGTTAACTATGTGAAATACTGTATAATGGATAAGTTAATGATATGAAATAATTCTCATTTTACACAGGAATGTTTGAACGTATGTGAATATAATCGACAAACGTTCAAATTGCATTTTGGAGCAGCAAAACTTTTGGAAGTTTATTTATATTTTTCAAATTTCGTATATTATGATTAATCAAATATTATCCTTTCAATATTATATTAAATTTAATTTAATAAAATCATCATTTCTATATCAGATTTGTAAGAAACTCTTCCACATAAAACAACTTTTTGTTTGAAAACAAAAGTCCAAAGAAGAATTTTGATTTAAAAAATTCAAATTTAATATTAAAATTGTTTTTTTTTTAATTCTTAATATTAATATTAAGAATTAAATTTTGATTTAAAAAATTCAAATTTAATACTAAAATTGTTTTTTTTAATTTTTAATATTAATATTAAAAATTTAAAAAAACAGTTTTAATATTAAATTTTAATATTAAATTTGAATTTTTTCATCAAAATTCTTCTTTGAACGTTTGTTTTGGAAAAATTGACTTATGATGGATGAATTTCTTACAAATCTGATGTAGAAATATGACAATTTTCTGGAAAGGTAGATCCAATCTCATTTCTGTTCTACAATATAGGCAGCAATTCCGTGACACTTTCACAGTTAATGCGGTTGGGCGAAAGTCAGGGAGTGATGAAACTCTATGCCGGATACGCATCGCGGTGTCGTTGCTCCTGCGCGCGGGTTAGCGATGACGTTAGTGGCTTCATGCAAATATCTCTCCTTGCGCAAACGGGAAGCCCGATATAGCGACGGTAAAACTTATGAAAGCTGTACGAATGACGCGTCAGTCGATGACTCTTTCATGACACCAGGAAGAAATGCTGCTTACAGCATCGAGTTTTGTATAAATGTGTGCACACGAATATTCTCTCTATTAACTTTATTAACTCTATTATCTCTGTTACTATCTCAATAAATATCAATAATGATAATGATTTAACATTTCTATAGAATTCTATATTATAATGTATATAAATCGCGTTGTTATAATAATTACATTAAAGTGGAATAAATTATAATCATTCATTAATATACAAATATACACAAAATCTGATAATAATATTTCAAAATATATTATAGATGCTAATAAATGAAAATATCTGAGGCTCAATAATGATCGTATAATTTTAGTGGCTCACGAATCGTAACGGATCCCAAAATTAAACCCATGAAATTTTAACGAGAGCAATGACTAGATTTTTTCGTAGAAAAAAGAATATTTTTTTGTATAAACTTTTGCATTTTGTTAATTATATAATTTATTATAATATGAAGAATATACACGTATATATATTTATGATGTAATAAGAAAGGACAATAATTGCATTTGTATCAATATATTTTAAAACTTTTAAAATAATCTAGATAATTAAACTCATTTCGTGTAGATAACTTTTATATTACAATTAACAGAATATTTTTGCTTTGTTTTGTTCGTTTTGAAAGCAAGTGATTAATATGGAAATAATTAATATGTAAATAAGAAAAATATAGGTTACTCTCATTAAATTATTTATTGGATCCTTTTAAGCGGGTTTTAAAAATACTATTAACAAATCATGTGTGCACTTGTCGTGTTTCGTAATCATCAGTTTTTTAAATTTGAAATGTGAAAATCTTTCAGTACTTAAACGTAAGTGCGTGCCATGATCGCAGCTTTCTCCTCACAATAGCTAGATGCATTAATGCTTCAATAATATACACGTAAAACAAATTATTTATTCATATATATATATATATATATATATATATATATATATATATAATTTTGTAATAGTATACATACTTATCCTTTCAGATAGCACATATTTCTGATATATCAGAATCAGATATATTTTTAATTACGCTTCAAATAAATTTTTTATGAAATTTTTTTGAAAAAATATACATTAAGATTAATTAATATTTTAAATATTGTAATAAAATACCAATAATATTTTAATTAAAAATTCAATCCTTATTATTTTGATTAGTTTTCTAACAAATTTATTTAACAAAAGAAGTAATTAAATGTTTCTCAGTTACTTAATATAACATAACATGATGTAATTTGATAAATTGTTCACGAAAAAAATATAGTAAAAATTTCAATATAATGTTTGTCATGGAATACATTATAGATCATGCAATACATTAACATAAAAGAGAAATCACGGCTTTTTTATGCATTGAATAATATTATATATTTAAATTATATTATTATATTGATATTATTATTATATTATTACATTTTATATTTTATTATATTATTATATTTTATAACGATTATTGTATTTATTTTGTAAACATTTTGATGCACAAACAAATGCATAATTTATAATTTTTATAGTAATAAAAATATTTTATATTCCAACTCTATTATAATAAATGTTGTAAGAAAGAATGTATTTTTCTTTTATACTGTAAAATATTTTTTCTGAATCGATGTAGGATTTTTATAAATTCACTGAAATTTTCGGAGCTTAAGATACCGGTTTCGAGCATGCCACCATCGCTGATTTAAAAACATATCAGACAGTTTTAAAGTACTTGCATTCTTCCGCAAATTACGTTTATTATCTCGTGATTAAATTGCGACGCCGACATACGGGGATCTTAAACTTGGCATTAATATCACCGCGACGATATCACACTGCCATCGTTGATATCTCCATTGAATTTCTTATCTCTATGTTTATATATATTTTTCATAAATTGTATCCACAATATTATGCATAATAAATAAATTTTTGCAATAATATTAATAATTAAACAAATATGATTAATTTTATTCAAATATCTCTATAATTTTACTTTATTATTTTTGAATATTTATAATTGCAGCAATCTGTTTAATAGCTAAGATTAAAAACATACTTTATTGAATTTAATTTTACTTCCGTACATTTCTATTAATAAAATTATAATTTAGAAAATAAGAGAATTTGTATTAAATTAAATGTATTTGTATTAAATTAAAAAATAAAATATATTTAATTTTACATAAGTTATATTCTCTTTTAACATAAACATTAATTTTATATATCCATTACTAAGCAACAAATAAATACTTTAAATCTAATCATTTTTCCCCCTCTCTGTCCTATGATGGCTCACTACCCTATCCCAACCTTTCAGACTTACCGGATAGTGCAAGGATCGTCAAGGTCATGAGGACCCTGGACATCGAGCCTGCCATGATCATCGACTGCTCTCGCAATCTCCGCAAGTAAGATCAAGGATACAAGGAATGTCAAGGCGCGATATCGCGTGAAACTTTCCTTCAAGATTCCATGCACTCGGATCGGTCGTCGTTGATTTGAAGCGAACCGTAGTGCCTACCAATGTCCGCCATTTTGGATTATCAGTCTACAGTGAGCTGCTGGACATCAGAAGAGCTGGACTTCACGGGTATGCGCCATTCTTTCTTCTTTCCCTTCTTTTCTTTCTTTCTGTCTCTTTCTTGCTTTCTCCTCTCTCTCTCTCTCTCTCTCTCTCTCTCTCTCTCTCTCTCTACTTCTATCTTATCCTTCCACTTGTCCTTTTTTCTCTCTTACTCAGTCTCGCGCTCTCGCACACGGTTGACCTACTTGGCGGCGGATCACACCGGTGTACACGTCAGGTTTTCGGCCAATACGTCGCACCGGATTTTAACTGAATACCTAAAGACCCTCAGCTTGTTTCACGTGTCACTCTATTTTCTTGTTGCACAAAACTTTTATTTTATTTTTTATTTTAAATTGTTTTAAATGATTATATGCTCTTATTTTAGTATATTTATTTTTTTATTCCTAAATAATTTTTGCCTGATTAAAAAAAAAATTATCTTTTAAATAATATAAAAATTTTCTTAACGTTAATACTGACGATTAAAGATATAGATTGTATTTTTCAGAATAATTCAACAATATTGGTATCCTATAATCTTTAAGAAACGTGATTAATTAATTGTCCACTTTCAAGATGGAACGACATTAAAATTTAAATTTAATTTTTCAGATAAAAATGCGAATATCGAAAAGCATAAAGCTTTGTAATAATAATAAGTATAAATTAATCATCACAGTTTTGATAATTTATTCCATGTAAAATAACGCAAATCAGTTAATTAAAGTTTAAGCAATAAATGTTTAATTCCGCATCTCACATCTTAATGAAATTTTTTCACACTCGATTCACATTGCAAAAATGCATATTGTAAAACAAAATTCACGAGGAGTCTGTATCAGTGAACTTTCTCTCGAGAAAAATAAATTCAATGATCTCAGAAAAAGTCAATCGGGGTTTCTTCTGTCAAAATCCAGCGAAAGAGCAGAAGAGAACACCAAGGATTGTTTGCTCTCTTCAGCAATCAATGCCGCCTTGTTCCGAAGACTATCAGAGGAGCGAAACTATCCCAGCGGACTATCCCAGTGCGCGAAAACGAGGGACTTTAAGCGTGCACCATCCGAGGTTCACTTCACGGTCGTTCACACGGCACTGGCTGAGGCTGAGGACGGTCATACACACACGGTCTCTCCCACTTTAGCTATGCCATAGCTACACCATGGTGCACTGTACACTGATGCCGAGCATGTACGTCACGTCTTGGTGGTTGACTTCCACCATGCTCGGCTGTCTCTCTTCATCATTCCTGCTTTACAGAACAATCTTTCCCCACTCCTAGGAATTCTTCTCTCTTTCTCCTGGCACATTCTGTGGCGAAGCGTGTCTATATCTGCGACTGAGTATTATACAGGTTTCGTCTACCTAGTCTCTCATTAGTTTTCTAAATCGAAGCAGGTAAACTTTCAATGACGACAGAGGGAAACGAAGAATCAAGCCGGAACTGAACTTTCAACTCTCGAAAGTACTCTTGATAATTTAATAACTTACTTTATCAAAAGATAAATTGTAGGAGACAACAATTGATGATATCGAGCATCTATTATTTTTCTCGCAATTTTAATAAAAGTGTAATAAGAATAATAGTAAAATAGAATCATATAATATTACCAATGATTTTTGTCACGCACTATTTTAATCTTGTGACTGTCAACACTAAATCATTCTTCTTGTTGTACAGATATTTGATTACTGTCATTAAAAATTGCTAGGTATCAGCTTTGAATATAACTGCTGCTACATTGTTCCATGTACATGCTACATTGCACGCTTTAAAGTTGGTCATTTCATTGAGGTCTGTAATTGTCAAGAAAATAGAGTAGACATGATGTCGCATGTGACATTTGATAATTTACTCTGATATACAGGGGGTTAATTATACTATCAGCAATAATTATCGTGCAATTTAACTATTTCTCTGTTAATACTGACATCTAATAATTTTTCATGTGTTATTTATTTTTCTTTCATAAGAAATATTTTAAAGTATTGAAAAAAATTACGCAGTTTTCATAAATGTAAGATTAGTTTTACGATATATTGTGATTTAAATATATGCTTTTAGAGAGACTAGTAAAATTTTACTTTACATTTAACTGGATAATTAAGTAAACTATTTAACGTATGTAAAGTCACATACATGTGCAGTTAACGGGACTCCTTAGTGGCATCGTGAGCATGACAATCTCATGCTTGCACTAAACTATCACTAGCTTTTGTTCTTTCCTACAATGTATTATTATGAAAACTGAAATCTTAAATAAGTGCTTTTTTTATTTCTTTGATTTTACCAAAATAATTACCATGATATAAATTGAAAAGTAATGCAACAATTTCTACAATTTATATAATTTAAAATCCTAAATAAAAAAATTTTCAATAAAACGAGAAACTTAAAAAATAAGGAAATTTATGATATATATTAAGTTTTAGAGAAAATCTTGAGAAAATTATGCAGCACTGTATTTTTACGAATAATAAAAATGTACAATTAATATAATAGTTATAATTAATTAATATTTTAGTCACATACATTTCCATTTCTTCTAATTTCATTACTTCATAACTTAGCTAATGCGTGCGTAATCTCTCTTTCTTTGTTTTCTTTTTTTTTGTGCTTTGCTGTATTAATGAATATAACGTAACTGAAAGAATTGGTCAGTGCGGTCTAACTGAATCTCGGAACTGCACGCACAAGCATATTTTTCTGTATTCAGAAAATGCAAGATGTACCGATGCCTTACTATTTTTTCCGTTATTATGATAAATTGCGTATCCATATCCACTACTGCATTTTTTTACGCTTTAGAACAAATATCCATATTTCATTCGTACGATTATTGTCACAATAAGCTAGAGAATCGTTTATATATATATGTATACACACACACAATTTAATACAATTATTAATTTTAACTATTAAATTCATAATTATGTAAATAATTGTTTACAGCATATTTACAGCATGTCAATTATAACTTTTTTAATATAAATAATTATTACGTCAAATTAATGTGCATGCTTTTTCATGTTTACATATTTAAATTTAAAAATATTATTTAAATATTTAATTTGTCTCCAGAATACAGTTTAAATTTTAATTATTTGGATATGCAATAATTCAAAATAAACAGGAAATGAAATATAAAAAATAATGCTATTTGAGAATATAAAGTAAATCAGAGCAAGATTTTATGAGACTTTTAGAACAAATATTCACATTTCATTCATATGATTATTGTCACAATAAGAGAATCACGTTCATATATATACACATTATTATAATAAAACTATTTATTTTAATAAATTCGTAATAAAGATATTATATTAACATGTGTAAGGGAGCTCATAAAAATAACTGCGGAATGCATCGTCGCATTCCTCGTAAGATTATAACATCCTAATGATTCTCAACCTTCTAGCTTCTTGCGAGTCATTTCGAACAATAGTTAGACAAGTATCGTTTTATCTTTGTTACACTTTGATCAAAAATATTTGTTAAAAATTTGGATGGACATATCAAATGTAATATTTAAACAATTTTTTATTTTTACAATGATAAAAATGTTTAATACATGCTATTTAATAGTTTATATAATTATATTTTTAGAAGGAAAAAAATGCATATATGCGTGTATGTGGAATATTACTTTCATATGCAGAATTAACTAGCCTACTTTTCTAACTCGTTGCTAATTTGTGAAAGCTTGACAGCTGCAAGACGTGTGCGCCACGTATGTATGTACATCTCATGCTTTCTGCAACACTCACTGACAGATGATATGAATGTATATGTATTACTATGCATTTCTTTTTTTTCTCTTCTCCTTTCTCAATGCAGCAAAAATGTAACACAATCTTTCAAAAAATGTACATGTAATGTAATAATTTTATATAAAAAAATTATCAATAATAGCAATAATTATACAACACAAAGTTCGTAATGCAATTAAACAGATATATGAGATATATGAGATTAAATTTTAAACAATTTAAAAATATTTATTTTTATAACATAAAATATTCTTTCTCTATCAATCAGGATTCATTTATCGATTCATCTCGTACATCGGCACATCTGAGCCACTTATTTATATATATATATATATGACCTTAGTAGAATTGTTCGCATTGTAATACAGCATATGAAAAATTAAAACTGCATTCTGTGTAACGGGTAGTCTCCTAGTAACCAAGTATGCATGAAATTATACTCGGTCAGTAACTGATTCTCATCTAAAAAAAAAATAAAATAGATAGAATTATCTTTTTGCGCAAGTAAGAATATAATTTTGCCGATGCTTATTAAATATTTATTCATATTATTGTTTTTATATAAATTATAAATATTAATCATTACTTTCATATTATTACTGTTGGGAAATATATTTACATACTGTTCTAGATAAGTTTACAAAATGTGTCAGTCTTCTCAAACTTATATAATAATCTCACTTATAATTTAATTACTTTTAGTTATATAATAATTATTATCTATTAATATTTTACGCACATATACACATACGTATACTATAATTAAGTAATAAATATATTATTTAATCATATAAAATTATGTGCGCAAAACTTTATTTTTATTAGAATATAAGTTAAAATAACTATATATACAGTACACATATTTTAATACTTACAGGTATATTTTAATTTAAGTGCAGATTTTATTATTATTGACTGCTGGTAATAAGATGATTTTTGGGTGATCATTAGTTGATAGTATCGAAAAAAATGTGCATATCTCATTATTTATTTTAAATTAAACAAATAAATACAAATTAGATGGTTTATATTTTCCAATATAAATTAATATAATTATTATGTAATATATGTCACATATTACAATATATATTCCATATACATATTAGAACACATCTCAAACGATAACTTCTCATCTACTATCGATGGATATATATATTTTAATATAGATTATATTAATTGCATATATATTGATATAAATATATTTATAAGAATATTTATTTTTTCCTACTAGTTATGCCATAAAAATATCCTACAAAAACTAAATAAAATATGTGATTTTTATATTTAATAATATTCAAATAATGGATATTATATTTAGGCAAAAATTTCTTAAAAATAAGCTTCTCTATAATTTATTAAATTTTAATCAAAAATTATAAAAATATGATAACTATCTCACATATATATTTATGGGATGAATCGTATATACAATTCTATTTTATAAGTTTTCGCTGTAAAATAATCACTAGAAAAACTACTTGCAAAAAAATGCAGTAAATCATAAAAGATTGGTCGAGCATCCAAAAACTTATTAAGTGCGCCAATCGAGGCGGGAAGAGCATAAACGATGTTGTCGTCTGCATCAGGCGCACAATTACTGTCGTCGTTTTAAGCGTGTCGTCGATGATAGCCAAAACGAGCATCCGGACGTGGTGCTGGGAGACGAAAACAAGAAAACAAGACAAGTGCAAGAGGAGCAACCAGACGAAGCTGTCGTGTTAAAAAAAAAAAAAAAAAAGATACGACAGGAGGGGGAAAGTAACTGTGGAAGAGCGCGATCTTGTTGGACGTTGATAATTGACTTCTAAGATGAAGCCAAGTTTAAAAGAAAAAAATATATATTATAAATTAAATGATAAATTTGAGAAAAATTAATCAAAAAGTCTTTTACCATTTTCTTTATTTTATAAAATATATTGCATAAAATAGTATATATATTTTGATTATAATATTTTTTTTTTAATTTGCATTAATTCTCTTCGTAATTAGAATTAAAATATTTTTCCAAAATTACGTTATAAAACTGTCAAATATATTGTAAAATAAAAAATCTTATAATTTTCGCTACTTATTTTTTCGATAATGTGTATGTTTTCTCTTAATCATAATGTATAAAAATTTTTCTTTTAATAGACTGAATTCCAAAGTAACTCATCAATCTTAAATAAACATTTATATCATTTCGTGCATTTATCAGCTGTCATCTTGAGTAACGTATCAATTTTATAAATTAGTACTTATCTTTTTCTTGATATATAATAAAATTGAAACAGGGAGTCATTGAATAATCTCGCCAAGATATCCGTGATGTTTGCGACACACATAGCTCGACTAACACTTTTCTCCTTCCGAAAAGCCACATTCCGACACGTCCAACCCTAAACGATCAACCCCGATTCCCTTCCAGGAACAACTGCGTGGACGCAAACTACGAGCCGAAAAATGACGCCGTAAACGGAAGAAAAAAATCGTGCTGGTCCAAAAAAAATATTAGAAATTCGTGTGTGTCATAACCGTTCGCGAGGGTGCAACGAACTAACCGGGCATCGAAACGACATGGGTATGGGACATTCCTTCACCGTCCCCGTTAATTGGCACTTTCATCCGCAAAGCCGGTCGTTCGTGGATCCCGGGGACATCAAGAATAGTCCCCGGCATTCGATCGATCGCGGATCCCTCTCCTTGGTCGCTTTTGTACAATCCGGCTGCATTGTGGTATTATCGACGTGCTTCCTTCTCTCCTTGCTCTTCTCACCTCTCTTGCTACTTTCCTGGCGCTCTGCTTCTGGTCCTAGAACTGTGCACCAGAATGCCTCCGACCTCACCAAACTAGACGCCAGACTGGTTTTTGTCCAATTTAGGTCCCCCATTGTTCGCTTCGCGTTGGAATGAAAATAGAGGAACCACTAACAGCGTCCTATTCGCGTACATTGCATAGAAAAACACTGACAGTATCAACGAACACGCTCGATTCTTCTGTCAAATTGGTATATATATAAGCGAAATGAATTTTAAAAATAAACAATGGGGGCGTAATAAGACTTTTCTCGATTTCGTGAGATGATTTCTTCTCTCTATTGTATTAATAAAATACGAATATTTCTATTTTAGACTCATATTTTTCAAAATAATATAAACAATTAAATAAAGCTTATATTTATTTATAAAATTTTACGATACGAATGATATTATTACATATTTTAGAATTGCGTTAATATTTCAATTTAACAGCAATGTGCAAACAAAAGTGTTAGTGCGACATCACACGCTTCGATAAGAAGCGACGTGTTCCCAGGACTGCATACAGTCAATTCATTGTGCTTTCTCTGTCTCTCTCGAAGAATACCACGCCGAAATGCCATGAAAGAAGCTCTATAAGCAACCAGGTGTAGACGGCTTCCAGGTGTTCTTAATGCAACATCGAGACTCTTCCAACATTATCATTGTGTGTATATATGTGATATTTTTTCATTTATATTATCTTTTTTATTATATATATTTTGAGCAAAGATTGTCTACACGTACACAATTCTCGACTAATGTAACTGTATAATAATTAATTCCTTTGATTTTTCAATGAGGCTATCAAAATTGAAGAAGTTATGTGATAAGATCGTCCGAGGATTAAATCGAAAATTAATTCTTTGCAAAAACAAGAAATACATATGTAGATCCACATTCCACACATTATGCGATATTCCCAGGATCGATCCGCAAATAAAATGTGTGTCCCGACTGTGACTTTCGAGTAGTTTGAATAACTTGATGAGAGAACTTATAATTAGCGTTCGTGACTAACTGAGAACGAAAAAAATTGTTACTTTGTCGGTGCATTGGATTCTCGTTAAATAGCACATAACGGAACTCGCACAATCTCTTTCTATTTTTAATGTCGTCATATTTTCCCCATGGAATATTCCGACGTTGACGTTTAAAAAAATGTATCATAATTCACGTTGCTCTAATTATAATTATCTTGTAACTATAGTAATGAATAACGATATTTTTATTAATGCAAATCTAAAATGTAACCTAAAATGAAAAAAGAATTCTAAAATTGATTGGTTGATTTGAATAAAAAGTTTAAAAATTTTATTTATATTTATTAAGAATATTTTGATATATATTAAAAATTTATGGGATAAACTATAAATTTAGATTAAAATAAATTTTAATTTTAATTTTAAAAAATTCTTAAAATTTGAATTTTTTATAAATAATTTAATAATTTATAAATTTCATTATTAAAAACAGTTTAGAATAAATTTAATTAAATAAAAAATATTTAAATCAATAAAAGTTTTAAAATAATAATGATTAAATTAGTATTAATGTAATATTAAAATATTAAATTAAATGAAAATAAAAATAAGTAGTATATCTTATAAAAGATATATCGCGATACTAAGAAAAAAAAAAAGAGATGACAATAATCTTTAACGATAATGCGATTTCTGAAGATAAATCGTATATGACAAGGAAATGTTTTTCACGCGTTCCTATCTGATTCTACTTTCAATTGAAATGAATTATCAATCGTCTCTCTAGATTTACATCTACGGAATCGCATAAAGCACAGAGTAACTCGTTAAGCGGCAATAGTGGTCATTGATTCGTATGTCATCTGGCTGCAGTATGCGTCACTGCGTTGCTGCACTTATATAGAAAACGAGCGGCGTTAAATGCATGCATCACTGGTTCGTCACGCAGGATAATTCCGCGCAAGCTGCTCGAACAACTAGTGACGAGCATAAAAAATTCTTCTAATCATCAGTGTACATATATGTATAATGTTAGTCACAGAACGGAAATATAATTTTCCCTATTATTTATACAGCTTTTTTATTATAAAGTATTATTTAAGTATGTCATATAAATAAGTATTTAATAAAATCATATGTGCATAATTTATATATATTATATATATAAATTTTTATAATTAATCAAATTTTTATAATAATTGTAAAATAATATCAAAACAATGTTTTGATTATATTTTTTAATTAATTATATTTTTTATATTTTTAATCAATTGTAATTTTTATAATAATTTTAAAATAATATCAAAACATCGAAGTAAAATATTAGATATTAGTATAAATTATTTTTTTTTATTATATACACTAGAAATTATTTTCAAAAGGGGTACACAATTTTTTGTATAAGGCTTTAGATATTTTTATGTATAAAAAAAGCAAATTGTATAAAAATATATTACTATAATCGTAATACTTGTAAATGATTACTGGCGCATATATTTGCAGAATGAAAGAAAAGTAAAATCATTCGGCAATTGAACGAGATTACAAGAAGTCAGATGTATATTTAGGTCAATCAATAATACGACGCATATCAAATTCCTTAACCCTATACCTTCGACGAGGGACGCCCTGCCCTTACTATACTACAAATTCCGATCACGTATTGATAGTGCACATACCGACATACTTTTCTACGCCGGAAATTCAAACGCAAGTGAGAAGCCAATAGAAATATACACAGATCTCCAATTAAATATTGTGTACCTTATACGCACACTTTACGCAACAGTTTCCCCACAATCATGTCGTAAAATGCATACTTTAGTACAGAAGAGACGATTATAATACTTCGAAATTCCAGACTGAAGGATTCTCTGTCACAAGATTGTCAGAAGTTATCAAGAATTCTAATAATTAATTTCATAGAGACATTTGTCTTGCTTAATATTTTAAAAGAAAATTATAAGAAAACAATTTTATACGAGCAGCGTTTTATTCTACACGCGTTTCTATTATTTCATCATCGTGCGTGTTATATACACATATAATATAAAATAACACACTTCTATTTTCAGGACTACCGAGCTCAATACTCGAGCCGTGCGTTCGAGAGCGTAATTGGGCGCAGGAAATAGCTACAGTCCTGACGTTACACCATGCCCTGTAAAGGGCCCGGCGAGCGTCAGGCCCACTCCTGGGCCAGCCGCAGAGCCTCTCGGCCCATTCCATTCCGGACCCGTAGTCGTCTCTCGCGTGCATCGCCCGTCGAAGGAAGCATTCCATTCATGTTTCGGGACGCGCGACGCGCTCGTCGTCGCGAGTGAGAGAAGAGAGACCGACCCGGGTCTCTTCCCCGCGAGGAGGACACAGGAGCCGCGAGCAACGGCGCCGTTTCTCGCGACAACGACGACGACGACGACGACGACGACGAGCCGCTGTGATGACGATCGACGGATCCGCCAGGAACATCGTCCTGCGAGCGCGTCCAGCACCAAGCACGTGGTCCTGCGTTATTGTCCGGGCCGCTACTCCGAGCGCATCCGGAGATGCAGTGAGGCTGCACTGGTGCGTTCTTTTGTTTATCTCTCTCTCTTGCCTTCTCTCTTTTTTTTTCTTTCCCTCGTCTTTCCTTTACCGTTGTTTCGTCTGGAAATTTGTCTCCCGCGGCACATCGTCGCTCGATTCGTGAAGAGTTTATCGAACTCGGGGATTGATCCAGAATTTCGCGGTTTGTTTTTATATCGATTGAGAAAATTCCTCGCGAGCATCGCGAAGATGTAGAGATAATAGACACTCGGCGCGTTATCTCGGGTTTTAGTTTGAGATAGAATTGGGTGTCTGTAAATATAACGGGTTGATTAAGACGTTTATCATGTGTTTTTGTGCTACTGATAAAGACGAGTGATTAGAATGGTAAAACATGTAGTGAGATGTCTACCCTATCGTGACGGCGCCAACTGTGCTTCAAGAATCTTATATTTTTTAACTTTATAATGACGTTTCATCTGCAGGTAGTTTTGCAATAAGATTGAGAGCGAATATCAAATTTTGCATCATTATCAAATTTATAATCTGGACGATATAAATATTATTAGCGATACAAAAATTTAATTCGGCTTAAATATCATTTATCAAGATCTTCATATCGATGTAATCGCATCAAAGGAAAGAGATAGCAGTTACAAATTATATCTTTAGATTATGACATTAGGCTATCTGTACTAATTTCTTCAAATATTTTCATCTTTCTCTCTTTCTCTTTCTCTCTCTGTATACGCGATTAAAGATTATGTCTCGGTCTTTCGTGTGAGCGCAGCATCACGTGTGTAAAGGATCTTTATTACTTTATCAGCAAAGTAGATTGCGGGGTTCGTAACCGACCGTCATCTCAACTGTCTTCATTTCCAAAGCGCATAACCACCGCGCATCCTCCGCATGCTAACGCGGCTGTTGAACTCCCCGGTCTTACTTTGTATATACGTGTATAAGATATCGCCTTTAAATCGTCCAGCAGTTAGCGTGTATCGTCACACGCCATACACACATACACACATTTTATATATATATGAGATGTTTCTTAATAAATGCGAAAAATTTTAGGAGATGATTCTTTGTCGAAAATTAAAAAATTTTTTCTCAAATTTGAAACAAGTTAAAAAAATGAAATTAGGAGGATATTTTCCACTAATAATAAAGATTATTTATTAATATTTTTTCAATCTCCCGTATTGTTATAACGGGATGAAACTAGCAACCCGTATTAAATTTTTTATTAGAACTTTTTAATGAGCCAAAATATGGTCATCTAAAAATATACATTAAAAAGTTTGATTTATTTAGAAACTTTTTTATTTCTTTTATTGTCTTCATAAAATCAGTAGTTTTCAAGAAAAAAAATGAAATAAGTTATCGTACACAGCACGATGCTAAATAGCGTAGATTTCGAATTACGAGAAGTTAAATTTTAAAATAAAAATAAAATTAGAATAAATATTGGGGAAATTGGAACAAAAACAAAATTATAATAAAAATCTAATTTTTATCCCCATTTTTGAAGGAGTATAACTTCACAGGAATATATGAAAAACATGCACTCCTATATTCCTGTGAACCCTTAATTATCAGCAAAGAATCATCTCCTAAGATTTTTCACACTTATTAAAAAACACCCTGTATATATATTTCATCAGAAATTATTTATAAGAAACAGATTGTGCTCTGGGGAAGCTCTCTACCACAAGATATCTCGCAGAGCGAGATTTCCTCCTTTGACAGGATACTCATTTTCCGAAGACGTGACAGGTTCATGCATTCGCGAGGCGCCATTTTTACGACACGTATATAGATGTTGAAATAACGGAGGATCCTTGACGATCGTCGTGAGACCGCCGTGTTTCCTTTACTCGTGGATGATAATGTCAAGCCGCGGATGACGAATGTGTAATGTTAATTTTTCCGGGAATATGTGTATGCGGCATGGCCGATACTAACGTTACGTTTTGCGACAAACAGGTCATTTTCCAATTGTTTGATACGTAATTGTATCACGCGAGGGAAGATAAACGATTTTCTATTTATTACAATGAAGAGTTTTTAAAAAAATATCAAAGGAAATTAATACAATGATATTCTAGTTAAAAAGTGATTATTATTTCAACATTATTTCTTCTTTTTAAATATCAAGCAATAAATAATTGTCGAATGAATAATTACTTACCGTTATATGATGACGGTACAATAAATAGTTACTTCGATCAATTAATGAGTAATATATTTTTTTCTTTTATTAGAATCAGATGTCTCATAGAGTTTTAATATTAAATATTTAATATAATTGTAGCATTCTCTATTGTATTCATGACATTTTAACTAATGACAATTTCCATGTTTATCTTTTCTGCTTCTTATCGGCAGTAAAATCTCTCTTTCTATCGTTTTAAAACATATAATTCAATTTTAATTAACAAAAAAAAAGGGAGTTCACCTTTCAAATTATAAATTATTAATGACGGATATATCATCGTCATCATGATGAACTCATGAGTCGATATGATGATACATTAGATACAATCACTAGTAAGTCTCCGTTAAGCATTTCAAATCACTATGTATCTATAGAAGCTAATATTTGCATGTACGTGGAATTTTACCGTCATTCGTGGAACAATGAGATATTCATGATCCTTGCGATAAATATATATATGTAAATTCCTACAGTAATAATTTTATCGATAATCATTATGTTAGTAACAGGAAATAACTATTTTCTGATACATTCCCGATGATATATATACATGTATGTGAAAGAAATACAAGTTCCATATTAAATATCAACAATATCAGTGGATCTGTATAATGTTGCCTGAATGTATAATGACCGTAAAACCCAAAGTAGCATGATGATGTAAGATTACGCGCTGGAAAATATAGATCAATTAAATCGTTGCTTTTGCTTCGTATTATCTATAAACAGATTGATAAAAAGAAACTTCATTGCAATGTAAATGTCGACATTTTATATGCAGTTTGCTAAATATATTTTAGTTTTTAATAAACAATTTCTTAAACAAATTATTAATCATTAAATTAATCATTTATTTAATTATTAAATTATTTAATTAATTAATTAAATTAATTATTATTTTATTTAATTATTTAATTATTTATAATTATTAAATAATTTTTTATTTCTTAGAATACATCTAACTATTTAACTATTTTATCTATGTATCTATTTCCTGATTTCAACATATTTTATTTGATAAGAGCATATCTATATCTGTGTAATGATTATTTAATTAACTTCGTTTAATTTATTTATTTTATATTCCCACGACAAGAAAATAATATCGAAAACATTTGGAGGGATGCGCAATTTCCATTTAGAATCGAAAATTCCGGGTGCAGTTTCTCGGAAGAAAATTGAATAGCGTCTGCTTGGACGTCGTCCAGAATCGACTATTAAGTTCAGCCGGGTGACGTGTTACTCCAGAATTTAGCTGATTGAGCGCCATGAATCACATTCCTCTATCGAAGGCAGGTAGTACACGCGAAGCGTCATGCGCTTCCGCGAACGTATCTGTGGGAAATCGTAATCTCACTCACGGCGCGTTCGTTCATATAAACTCCGGGTGCGTATCGCGTGCGGTCATTCAGTAACTCGAACGAGTCACCGTATACATCTTCGGGCTCCGGAACGCGCGTCTCATCCCTCCAAGCACGAGACACTGGAGATCTTCGGAGCGTCGCGTCGCGTCGGCGCGCCTTCCCTTTCTCTCCCACGGCCTCTACCCAAACTAGGGTTACGCGCGATGACGAAAAATTACACGCTCTCCGCCGCCTATTTAAACGGCTCGCCCCGCGTCCGCTCTTAGAGATCTACTACTGCAACACGTAAACATGTAAGTACACACGCGTGGGCGAATGTTGATTTTCTTCGCTCTCCAGTATCGCGAGGTTGCTCTCTGTCTCTCTGTTGGTTTATTTATTTCTGCTTATTTGGAATAATAATACGCGCAAAAAAATATTTTTCAATTATAAGTTTAGTAGGAAAAGTAATTTATAAGCGGAAAAGTCTCCTATGAATCTCACATACAGGTTTAACAACTTATTAATATTACTTATTAATATTAATAATTTCGCTGGGAGATATTTTTCCTGAAATAAAGCTAATGATTAATTTTTTGTTTCGAATGTTGATTTTCTTCGCTCTCCATTATCGCGAGGTTGCTCTCTGTCTCTGTTGATTTATTTATTTCTACTTATTTGGAATAATAATACGCGCAAAAAAATATTTTTCAATTATAAGTTTAGTAGGAAAAGTAATTTATAAACAGAAAAGTCTCCTATCTGACATACAGGTTTGACAAACTTATTAATATTAATAATTTCGCTGGGAGATATTTTTCCTGAAATAAAGCTAATGATTAATTTTTTGTTTCGAATGTTGATTTTCTTCGCTCTCCAGTATCGCGAGGTTGCTCTCTGTCTCTGTTGGTTTATTTATTTCTATTTATTTGGAATAATAATACGCGCGCAAAAAGAATATTTTTCAATTATAAGTTTAGTAAGAAAAGTAATTTATAAGCGGAAAAGTCTCCTATGAATCTCACATACAGGTTTGACAAACTTATTAATATTAATAATTTCGCTGGGAGATAATTTTCCTGAAATAAAGCTAATGATTAATTTTTTTTAGCGTGTTGCGAGCATTCATATATCATAGCAGATAAACTGTTAAAAACACACGAATTCTTTTCGCATAGCTTATCTATTTACATCCTATTTTTTATCTCTCTCTTTCTCTCTCTCTCTCTCGTTATATCTCGCATATCTTAATATATCTTTTTATTGCTTATCTTATATTTATTATGTATAATATGACGTATGTTAAACGGATCTAAAGTAGACTATGGATCGATAATGTACAGACGATTTCGTATATCGTGTATATATTTGTAGAAAATTACGATGTGTCATCAACGTAAGAAATACGTAACAGTTTCAAAAAATGTTCGATTAAACTCAGCGTCTTTATTATTTACTCACTGCGAAAGATTCAAGCA